CATGGGTCCAAGACAGCTGAATTATTGATAGTATGGTATAATAAAAACATGTGAGTTTGAATCCAATCTTCCTTATGGAATATTTGAGCTTTGTTTTAATTATCTGTAACATGGGTGAATAGTACCTCATTTACAGGGTTGTTGTGAAGAGTAAATTTAGTGACAGGAAGATTGTGTGGGAATTTGAAAAAAATAATTATTATAAATGAAAAAAGCAGAATGTAGGATTTTACACTGACTATAAAGTTGTTAAAATAAAAATATGAAAAAAGATTGGAGAATATAAAATTTATAATAATTGATGGGATAAGATGATGAGGTTATAGGCAACTTTAAATTCTGTATTCTGAATGTTTACAATATTATAAATGGAAATATGGAGTTATTTAGAACTCTTAAGATGGTTGATACTCCTGTTTTCAAATGGTACTGTTCAGAAACTTTGCTGTAGTTTTGAATTGCTGCATGGGTGAACAAACACAAAGCAGTCAGGTATAATCCCTTATAAAAATATTCTTATATTCATCCTGTCAAAACATGAATTTACTTTGAAACCATTTCTGGAGATGCTTGGTTGAGAGGGTTTTTTAATTTTTGCATCCAAGGGGAAATGATCATTAGAAAATACAGTGAGCTCACAGAATGATAAAAGGGAATATATAACTTCTCCCGTTCTAATAGAGGTTCTTTTTAGCCTTGTTATCTCAGTAGCAGGGCCTCGCTGACTCCTTCTGAGTCTCTGAGTGTGGTATATACCAAATGTAGGCCAACACCTTACTGACCATACTTTCTCTTTAAATGGATTGTTGTTTTTAAGCAACAGTTGATGGGAGGGTGGGATGCGAGTACTTAAAAGCCAGGGCTCTGGACTTTAGAGAGGCATGAGTTTCAAAACTTGGCTCGGTCTTTTTGCTGTATTATTTTAGGCAAGTTACCCTTTCCGATCCAGTTTTCCCCTTTGTGAAATGGGAATTGTAATATCTCCCTAGAATTGCTGTCAGAATTAAATGAGGCAATGTATGTGAAATGCTTAACATGATGCTGGGCACATAACAAAGCTAACTAGATATTAGCTGCTGTTATCACATAACATTTATATCCGTAATGACAGAGATTGTGGCTGTCCTATTCATTGTGTATTTCTAGTATAGAGTAAATGATCAGTAATATATGTTAAATGGGTGAATGCATTACAGAAAACAGCCTATCATTCCCATTTACTAGATTGTGTGAGAAGAAATAGAAACCAAGTTTACTTTAATCCTTTTCGCTGCCCTATTGATCCTAATTCCTGCCTGGTGGGAGTAACATTGAAGTTTTCAATATCTGATCTTAAGAATAGGCCTTGTCAATTACAGGTAAATTTAGATTTCTTTGAGAAACAAGAACCAGGGGTCTGATGACTGTATTAATTTGGGCAAGATATTTCCTTTTTCGTCTGTAAAATGAAGAGCCTGGGCTTGAACTCTGCTTTCCAACTTTAAAATTTTATTTTTCCTATTTAGAATTTAATATAATATAAAAGGATAATTTTAATGGTTTCTAACTCTTAGCTCCTCATTTTAATCTGCAGGTATTTTGGAGAACCCTCTATATATCTGTCACTATAGGTTTACTTTGCAGATAAAAAACCAGAATTTCCTTTAGGTTCTTTGTTTCAGCTTTATTGAGATATAATTTACATGCCATAAAATTCACTTATTTACAATATATAGTTCAGTGGTTAGTGTATTTACAGATATGTGCAACCACTATCACAATTAATTTTAGAACATTTTCATCACTTCAGAAAGAAACCTGTACTCTTTAGCTGTCACCCCCCTGTCCCCTACCCCCTGCCCTAACCAACCATTAACCTACTTTCTGTCCCTGGAATTCCCTGTTTTGGATTTTTTTATGAATGGAGTGATACAATATGTGGTCTTTTGCAACTGGCATCTTTCACTCAGCATAATGTTTTCAAGACTAATGTGGATGTGTCAGTACTCCCTCTCCCTGCCCCACCCTTTTACTATCTATGTTTTTAACTTACAGGTTTATTAATGCAGGAAAGTTCAGTTACTTTATGATTTGTTTTTGTTTTCCGGTTCTGAAAAACAAGGGTTTTTTTTTTTTGTTTGTTTGTTTGCTTTTGTTTTTTAAATCATTACAGGCTCTTCAAGATTGAGATGTTTCTTTACTATGTGTTCGGGAAAGTTTCTGAAGTTCTCTCTGGGGTTAGACATTCCATATTGGTACATTAGCTCACCCGAGGAGAAAAGGGACAGCCAGGTCCCTTATGAAATCTAATCAAAAGTTCATACAGGTTATCAGTGTTAAACACCAAGGTCAAGGGTTCAGATCCCCTTACTGGCCAACTGCCAAACCCCCCCCCCCCCCCAAAAAAAAAACAGTAGGTATTAATTGAAGCTCAGATTGGGTCTTTCTTGTTGATTGCTCCTCTTCCTCCCCAGTCTCCCCATCTTAATGGCAGGGAATTCTTGACCGGATTTGCTCTGGGAAAATGGATTATGGTGTTTTGTCAAAAGTTTGAGGACCAACTACAGGCCTTGTAATGTACAGTCAGAGAAACTTTCCTTTCCTCTCATGTGGTTAAGTGGCTGCCTCCACTATGCCAGACAGCCTGCTCCTTGAAAGGTTTGTTCAGATGTCCAGACACACTTTCAAGTTGCCATTTTCCTTTCTTTTCTACAGGGATTAAAGCCTGTGGTTTCCACAGAAGCACCACCTATCATATTTGCCACACCAACTAAACTAGCCTCTGATTCCACTGCATATGATTATGCTGGGAAAAACAAAGTTCCAGAGCTGCAGAAGTTTTTCCAGGTGAGAGAAAACACTCTAGAACAGAGAGGCCTGTGAAATAAATAAGCTTGAAAAATCCCTTATGAACCTGTGTCTTAATCTAGTTTACTACCCAACCTCCTTTTTTTTCTTTAAATAGAATTCTCTTGATTTTACTTTGAGCCATAAACTAATAGAACTTTATATAGGTAGATACTATAAAAGAGGAAGGGTGGTTAATTTCTTCATCAGGATTTAAGGGTATGCAGGTTTTCAAAATGCACATATAGCTCCTGATCATCCATTACATGGAGGAAGCAATAGAATGTATAATGACACTGAATAATTCAATATGTATTTGGCTTTGTGACACATGCGGTGACTTTTGGCAATGAGTATTCTTCTAATTGTTTTTTGTTTGCTTGATACTAAATTCACTGAGCTGTTGCTGGCAGTAGAGGATGCCTTTTGGGTTTGCTGGTGTGCAAAGAGAAGCCAGAATTGGAATTTAAAATATTGTTGAAGTTAATCTACAGATAAGTGAGAAGTTAGTGACCTACTGTCACTATCGGGATATCTATCACCTATACATTTATAATTTCTTTGTATTGGAAAGTGTAGTGGGGGGGGGATGAATAAGTACATTTCCTTACTTTCTGACGCACAAGCAGGTACCATGGGAGGGGCGGTGCCTGTTATGCTATTGCTACAAGGTAGCTGCCCCCTCCTCAGAAATATGTCCAGATTCAGGGCTTGGAGATAGAGCACTTTTGTTTTGATCAATTTAGTCCCTTTTTATCTGATAATTTAGATTTGAGAGGGCATTTATAGTTTTGAGATGCAGTGGGAAGGGATTTTGGAGACTATGCAAAATAATGAATTAAATGTCTTGTGGAATCTGGTTTTTAATCTGGGGCTTCACAGTTTGGCAGAAAGAAGGCAGGTGAATACAAAATGGACTTGAACCTATTAATTGACCTGCTATACTCTGCCGTTAATTGACTGCTTGTCCCCTCATGATCAGAGGTCAAACTACAGGTAGAACTGAATGATGAGTATTTCTTATGCCTGCACATCTTTATTTAGCTGCTGATTACCTTTGCCTTTAAAGAAATTTACCAGTGTTCCTTTCCTAGTTACACAATATATAGTAAATGCCTTAGAAATTTGGAATTTGTTGCATGAATGTTCCCTGAGGCTGCATTTTGGAGAATGACTTTGGACTTAAAGCTTTAGCTACATTTATAAGAAAATATACCAGTATTTCAGTTAGCATTCTGATGGATTAGGGCTTTTTCCACTGTGATGTGTTGATGAATTAGTTACAAAGTAGACAAATTTGTTTTTGTTAGCCTAAAATTGTAAAATATTTTTCTTATCAACCATGCCCTTGTTAATTCTTGCTTTCAAGAAATCCGATGGTGTGCCCATCCACCTGAAACGAGGCCTGCCTGACCAAATGCTTTACCGGACCACCATGGCGCTGACTGTGGGAGGGACCATCTACTGCCTGATTGCCCTCTACATGGCTTCACAGCCCAAAAACAAATGAGTTAGCTGCAGAGGACTGGTTTGCTTTTTGGCATAAACCCTTTGAATTTTCATTTTCCATTGTTTCTGTTAAATTTTTTTTTTAACTTGGATGGCCAACTTGTCATTTTTCCAAGAAAAATAGAGATGAAGACAATATTTTGGTTTGTTTATGAAAAGCATATTGCCTGTCAGAGCTCATTTGACAGTTAATATTACTGTTTAAAGAAATGACACTGTTCTGTTTAGGCTCTTGATTTCCCTAGAGGTTCTGGATGAAGGTTCCACAGGCTCATTAACATCAGTCTGTGCTGAGGACCTCAGGGACTTGGGGTTGCATTTTTGAGCATGAGGTACAGAAGCCTTCTGGATTTGGATGTGACTGAGGAAGGAAGACAGAAGGCAAGGCTAGGCATGAAATGAGAGGTTTGAGCTAGCAGTCACCTTGGGAATTTTTCCATCTTGCAGTAAAATGTTAATAGAAATTATTTGTAGCCTGCCTCTATTCATTGGGCAGTTTATTTCAAAGGGTTATTTGCCTCATCTCAGACCTTTAATGAAATTTTATGTATAATTGTTGTGTATTTATTCCACTATGGGAACAGAGAACACCTGTTTAGTGTTGTACTTTGGTGTATGTTTTGTTGGTACAGCTCTGCCACAAATTCTCCTTTATCTTTTAAAAATGTTATTGCTTTAAATTATGATTTATTTTGACTGTGGAATAAATACATGAATGAAAATTTTCAAGTTTGAAGTTCTTTTAAATTAAATGACCTTTCAGAATAATTTCAGAACACCAGAGGCACCTTAAACCTGAGTCTAATTTTTTTCTTTTTAATTAGACACCATATAATCTTTCAAAACAGAAAAAACCTCAAAGTTAGGTAATAGGAGTTGAATGCTGTGTTGATGATTACCATATGATTCCTTATAAGAAACCTGCTCACCCATTAGTGAAATGTGCCTGAATGCACAGATCATTTAGACACTAATTTCATATGCTGTCCCTATTGGTGGACTTCACTTACCGTATATTAATGCTGAAAAAGGTGGAGATGTGTTATATATAAAGTGATGGTCTGTATCTCGCCATAACAAAGAACAGTGACATCCTACTGTGGATAAAATAAGGTGTTTGACAATATTCAATAGCATTCTCACAGGCTAAGAAACCCTTAGATCGCTGTACAGATGTAAACCTTATTCTTCTCTGGAGTTTCCCCCAAGTTTTTATTTTGAAAAATTGCAGATTGCAGGAAGATTGAAAGAATGGTATAGTATACACCTGTATATCCTTCACTTAGATTACCAGTTATCAATACATTGCCACCTTTGCTTTTTCTTGTTCTCTCACATACATGGGCACACACAATACATGTATGAACACACTCATATATCTGGTTTTTGCTGAAACATTTAAGATTAAGTTATGGAATTATGATAAATCAGTGATAAACACTTTTAGCAAGTATCTCCTAAGAGTAAAGACACGTTCCTTCATAACCATAATACAGTTGTCATGCTCAATAAAGTTAACATTGATAACAATACTATCATCTAATATATAGTCTACTTTCAAATTTCCCAAGGTGTATTAGTTTCTGTTGTTTATAACAAAGTACATGGATCTGTGGTAATTTATAAGAAAATGAAATTTATTGCTTACAGTTTCAGAGTCTGGGAAGTACACAGTGCAGGGAACATATCTGTTGAGGGTGTTGGTGGTCGCAACAGTGACCCAGTGGTCTCACATTGCAGAAAATGGCGGAGCAGAGAGAGCAAGAGAGAGACTAACCTGCTCATTCACTCTCTTTTTAAAGTCCTCAGAACCATGCCCATGACCACCATTTTTAATCCATTCTTTGTGGTGTGGTCCTGCAATCTAATCACCTCTTTAAGGCCCCACCTTTCAATTATCATGATAGGATTTCCCACCCTCTTACCACCGTCACAGTGGGAGTCATGTTTTGGGGGAACACTAAATCCAAGGCAACAGGTATTCAATCACCTCTTTAAGGCCCCACCTTTCAATTATCATGATAGGATTTCCCACCCTCTTACCACTGTCACAGTGGGGGTCATGTTTTGGGGGAACACTAAATCCAAGGCAACAGGTATTTGAATAATGTATCCTTTAAAGTTGTGTTTTTTAAAGTAGTTTTTTGGGGATATAATTCACACACCATACAATTCACCTAAAGTGTACAATTCAGGGGTTTTTATTATATTCAGATTTGTGCAACCATCACCACGATGAATATTTTCATTACTGTAAAAAAGAAACCCTGTACCCATTAACAATCACTTCCCTTCCCTACCTCCACCCATAGGCAACCACTCATCTACTTTGTCTCCGTGGATTTGCTCTTTCTCAGCATTTCGTATAAATATAATCATATAATATGTGATCTTCTGTGACTGGCTTCTCTTACTTAGTGTGATGTTTTTGAGGTTCATCCGTGTTGTTGCATGTATTGGTACTTCATTCCTTTTCATGGCTGAATAATATTCGATTATATGGCTATCCCACGTTTTGTTTATCCACCCATCTGTTGATGGACATTTGGGTTATTTCAACTTTTGGGCTGTTAAGAATAATGCTGCTGTGAACAATGGTGAACAGGTTTTTGCATGAGCATGTTTTCGTTTCTCTTGGGTTTATACCTAGGAGTGGAATTGCTGGGTCATATGGTAACTCTGTGTTTAACTTTTTGAGGAACTGCCAGACTCAGTTCGAATTCAGTTGTACCATTTTATATCTTCCCTAGCAGTTATAGTTGATTTTTGTTTTTGTACTGGGTCCAGGATCCAGTCAAGGATCATATATTGCTTTAGTTATGACATCTTTTTAGTGTTCTTTTATCCAGAACAGTTCCCAGTGTTCTTTCTGACATTGACCTATTTGAAGAGCCCATGAAAGTTTTGTAGGACATCCCTCAACTTGGATTTGTCCGATTGTCTCATTATTGGTTTCAGGTTAAACATTTTTGTCAAGAATCCTTCATAGATGGTGTGGTGTCCTTAATGTCACATGGTACTTGATACTGGTTTGTCCTATTGTTGGCACTTTGGAATTAGATAACGTATATAAGATGTTATCCACCAGATTTCTTGCTTGTGAAAATACCCTTTCACCTTTGAAATTTATAAGTAGTCTGGGGGTTTTATTTGAGAATGAGAATATCCTGTCCTTAACAGTTTTGCACCCAGTATTAGTGTTCATTGGTGAATTCTTTATTTCTAAGATGGTTGTAAAAAAGTGATTTTTCTATTCTATCCTTCCTTCTCCATTATTGACATTTTTCTGTGAAGGTGAGTACCCTCCTTTAAAAAAGTTTAACTGTAATTTCCTCATTCAATGTGTAATAACCATGTCTATCATTGTTCATTTTGATACTCAAATACAGCACAAATTTTGCTTCTGTGTTCTATTGACATGCCCCATCAGTCTTTGAGCATTTTTTCTTTTTTTTAATTGATATAATTATACATATTTATGGAGTGCAAGTGATAATTTGATGCATGTATACAATGTGTAATGATCAAATCAGAGTAATCGGGATATCTATCACCTATACATTTATAATTTCTTTGTATTGGAAAGTGTAGTGGGGGGGGATGAAGAAATATTGATTAATAAGTACATTTCCTTACTTTCTGACGCACAAGTTGGTTTCCATGCTGACCTTCTATTTTCCCCAACCCAGTTTCCTCTAAGTATTTTCTTGTCTGTTTTATTTTTGCCTAAATGGTGCTATACCTTCCAAATCTTGCTTGTAGCTTAGAGGTTATTCTCTGCCTCATTTTTCTGCAGTGTATGAATGTACTGTAGTTTATTTAGTCTCCTTTTGATGGGTATTTAGCTTTAAACTTTTTGCTTTTATAAATACTGCTTTTTTTTTTTTTTTTTTTTTTTTTTTTTTT